GTTTTACATAAAAACGGTACAGTAGATTGTTTTACACTTTCAATGCATTATATTAATTACTTTTATTTGGTAATAGTCTGTACTATGATACCGCTGTTTGATTATGGAACAATTTTAGCAGAAAAAATTAGTGATTTTAAACATCAATATTATATCGATAAAATTTATGCGCTATTATTTTTGCTTATTTTTCCTGTGAGAAAGAAAACAAATTAGAGGATCAGAAAAAGTAATTAGATGTTATAGGAAAAGATGCTGTCTAAAATTTCAACTTTTCGCCACTTTCTTCGTCTTATTACACTGGCACATAAAACCTAGCCTAAACATTTCTGCAAATGCAGCAAACAACCGAAACTAAAAATTTATTGCTAACTACGGTTCGGCAACAGCAAAGATTATATGTCAATAAGGATTCTCAAAAATTAAAACTTTTGTTTTACTTTGTTATTGCTCTCAATTGTACAAATTTTCTTCAAACACTACACTGAAAAACCAACTGGTAGTGACGATACTGATTAAATGAAACCAACATTTATGGAACAGTCTGAAAAAGAAAGAATTTTGCAGAAAGCTGCATTCAGTAATTGGTTTTTTATAATACACTGCTGCTCTTATACACTATGCAAATACTTAATCACAATTGTGATTAAACTTCCTTAATCTAAAAAATTCTCATACAACTTCTTCACTGACTTTTCAGCAACTTTGTCATTGCTTCAAAGCAAAAGCAAATTTATTAGAAAAAATTTTATTTTGATTAATCAAAGCATCATATTGTAAAAATAGTATTGCTGCAGGTAAAAAGTTGTTGATATTATGACAGCCGGGTGAAAATAGTAGACGAGGTCTTTTTAGAATAGACTATTTAAAAGTGAAAAGAATTTACGTTAGAAAATAATGAAATACAGTACTCCTCTGCAAACGTTTTCGATAGCAGAATTCTGTCGCTGTAGTGAGTTTCAGATGTACAGACAGTGATAAATTTGCGGTTCTTTGAAAGTTTTTTAAAGGTAGTAATCGACTTTTGTATCATGAGTCTTCTAGCATAAAGCCTTATGCTAATGCAAAGCTGAAGAAACAGTGATAATTCCGTTGCAAGAAGAGAGCAAAGAAAAACTGCCTTCTAAACTTACGGTACTCATTTAGAAACACTGATTACTGCTATTATTATTGCTGTTACTGCCACTTTTATTATTATGATTTTTACCATAATTATTACCATAATAATAATAATAATAATAATAACAATAATAATAATAATAACAATAATAATAATACTGTTATTACTATTGTTATCATTATCATTGTACATTGCTTCTAAAAAGAAACCACATAAAAATTCTTCTACTTCTTATGCCTAAATCTTTGAGTTTTTTCTAACAACCTATTCTAATTAATGTACACGAACTAGTAACTTGACATTACATCCACAAAGTAACAGATACAGTGAACCAACCAAAATTCACTGTGCAAAGTACATTGTTGAAGGGTAAACTATATCGTGAAGTTAGTGCGAGTAATAGGAAGCTAAATGAAATGAAATTCGTTTTGACCATAGTATAAAGTGCAAATAATTCCAATACTTTTGTAAATTTGAACTCATCATTGGAGGAAGATATTGTAAGGATGATGTTAGCCATTGACTGCTGTTACTGTTGACTATATTCTTGCTGCCACCGTTACAGGTTCTTTGAGAAGCCATGCTATTGATTTCATTTGATCAAAATGTTTCGTTTTATAAACGCATTTAGCATAACATGAATTACTTCCACTTCACTTGCTTTGACACTTACAGCTGTTGTTCTCGTGTCACTCATTTGGCACAGTTACTATAACGATCGCTTTTAATGACAGCATCATAAAACCACGGCAAAAATACTGACTAGCTGTTTAGTCCAAGTAAATTAAAAATACGTAATTATAGTACTTTCAGGAGAACTTATGATTTCTCTGCTTGTCTTCCTTAACATTTACGACATACACCTTTTGAAGCTTTGCATTTTCCTTACCATTGTTATTTGTGTACAAAACACGGTTCAAAAGTTTTACATTCTGCGCCTGTCAGTTTGATGCCATCTTCCATACTCATAAAGCAGCTTATAGTTTTACAAGTTTTTACATGATCAAAAAAAAAAAATATCCTCTGTACCTGCAACATATATGCTATCCAGTCATCAAGATAAAAAAACTCGACCAACAATTGTACAACAATGTTACGGAAGCTATCAAATTCTCTAAATCCTTCACTTATAAACAAGTACAATTTACTTGTGGTTGATAAAAACATAAAAACAATGATTTCTTCTTTCCTGTTTCACCTTTTTGCTTTTGCACTCTTTATCTGCAGCCTGACAAAGCGGAAGTCTGTTAATGGAAAAATAACCAGATATTTTTCTCTGAACTAACTCTCGTTTATTTAATTTATTGCCTTCCTTCCCTCTACACCTGTTCTCTTTGCTTCTATCTATTTTCCGCCTTCTTTTCTGATAATGAAACTATTGTATTTCACTGTATACAAACACTGATTTATTTATAACTAGCTTTAGCATTTAAAATGAACGTTTAACTATCCTATCCTCAACTTTTGACAGGATGCTACGAATAACAAGCCCATTAAGTTGGAGGACATTTATTTAACCATAAAATAAAAGCATTACAACGTCTTGTACTATCAATCTTTTTCATCATACTATTATATTCTACAATTTTCAAAATCTTTCATGAGTTAACTGTTAGGCCGGCCTTTCTGGGGGAATCCTTATTTCCTTCACGATTCAAATTTCCGCATTATTTCGTGTTTTGTTCTTTACAATTAAATAAAAAGGCACAAAAAACTTTTTCTGCAAACTCATTTGCCGCTTATTCTAAGACATTCTTGTGGATGATAACATTCCTTCACAAAACAGAATAAATTTTGTGTTAATTTCAACAGCATTTTTACGCTCCTAAACACAAGTGTTTTGAATGACTTCTAGTAAAAGAATAAGCAACAGCTAACTACAAGCTGATAATACTCATCCTCAGCATAATCGATCGGCTGCTTCCGGTATAAATTGCCTTTTACAACAGTTCTCAATAACAATTAGCCCTGACTTCTTAATTAATATCGTGTTATCAGCTGGAAGTTCAGCCGCAATAAAAAAGTTTTCGGTATTATAAAATAAAGTCCCGCAAATTTGCCAGCTTTAAACTTCTTTGAAAAACAGCAAATTTTCTTTCATTCAATCAACTTTATGCCAAAATTACAAATTATTAAATGTAGAAATGCTGCTCAAAATACTAACTTCATCAAAATGAAGAGACTGTTGTCTATAAAATAAGTTGTAAAATTTTATAGTGCTTGATAAACACTTCTTTCTTTCTCCATTAAACGTTAAAAACGTTGTGATTCGCATGGAAACTTCCCACCTTATATTTACAGTTGAATATGCCTCCGACAATTGGTTTCAACTTTTGCAAACAAAGGTTCACTTTTCTGAGGATTCTCAGTGAAGCGAAGCACCAGCTTTCAGACGGCATTTCAGGAACTCGTACTTCAGGCTTGTCTAAAAAACCCCTCCGTAATTTTAAATAAGACTTCAGAGAGACTCGTCAATCACGAATGCCTTAATTTACCCATTCCTTCTTGACATTTAGACCAACAAAACCCGCTGTGGACAGCTAGAAGCATACCTTTTAATGTCATTTTTGTGACGGTTGTCACTACACGACGCTCTGGTGGTGAGCAGAATAAGTTCAATACTTCACTGAGAAGAGCAAGATGGGACTAACCAGCTGGGAAACTCGAGGCTTCCTTAAACAGAAATGTCCTAGCATTTAGTTTCGCCGGCGTAGGAA